TTTCATATATAAGCAATTCAAGAGGGTTGAATCGAAACTGAACACCATGAATCTATTTTAAAGATAAATAAATTTCTTTAATAAACTGATTATTTTTCGTTTATTTTGTTTCAACTTTCCTTTTTCTGCATATATTTACATACGGTTTGTGTAGTGTTCACAGGAAAATTGTGTTTTGCTAGTCTAATATAAAAAGGTCAGAGTTCCTGCTATAAAATAAGTAAGTTTCCATTGCAATACGAATTCAAACTTTCTACCGATGTGAATCATGTTTATTCAATATTGAAAATTACCTTTCAAATAAAATATTTGGGTCAAAATAAAAGTTCGTTGCGTTTTTAAGGAAAACGTTTTATTTATTTGTACATAGATTTATTCAATCGCATGTGTACTATGTTGCTCTACTACATCTCACCATCTTTGAGACAGCTTCATGATTCCCTTTTCCTAGAATTTTGATGAACTAGTCTTTTGGGTGTTTTTTTTTTCCAGGCTTCCAGATATTCTAAGTTCCTCCAAAGCTATGCTTAACCCAGGTCTCTACACCGTGTTTAGATCTTCAGTTACTAAAGTTAGGCGAACAATTAACACTCGAAAATTCATTGCTGGAATTGGATTAAGAAATTAATGTTTTTTTTAAAAGAAATGTTTACTTTTTACCTGTAAAAGAGACGAGATTATTTTCTTTTCAATATCGTCTTTCTCTTTTTTACATTATTTGAGATTATTTTAAACAGCTAAATTCACAAAAATGTAATTAAGAATTTTGTCACAAAAAATTAATTTTTTATGCTATTCATAACGAATATTTTGATTATAAGATTCATTATTTGTGTTTTATTTATAACTCATGAAGTATGTTGATGCCGTCCTTGTAAGAAAATAGGAAAATAATGTAACTTTTTGCACTCCTAATTTTCCATACAGAAATTTACACATTTGAAAAAAGAAAAAAAAATTGAATAAAAACTTAATTTAATATTTTTGTATGATATTATTCTTCATAACAAACATATTAACTTAAAAATTAAAAAAAAATATTTACGGGTATTTAAAAATCTCATCAAAAACTTTAGAAAACGATTGCAGTAATTTATAAAGATGGGAAGCCATGCTATTGACTATTAATATTTTGAGAATTGTTCATTTTTTTTTTCATAATGTACGAATAATTTTCTTCTACTTTGCATAATTCGCCTGTCAAATTTATTGTATTTAACCTATTATTCTGAAAATTGAGTTTTATGTTTCTTTCTTGTGCTTATTAACATATAAAATACCTGGCATCATACAGAGATTAGATTCTCAGAAATGGATGAAAATATTCAAAATTAATGGGTGTAACGAATAATTTTCGTCGTTGACATTATATATATATATATATATATATATATAAATATATATATATATATATATATATATATATATATATATATATATATATATATATATATATACATATACATTTAAGTCACTTATTGACAAAGGCTATGAGGTTTTGATGTAACCTAATAAATATGATGGGTTTTCTTTTCTTCCATTTTGAGAAGAATAGAACAATATCCTTTGTTTTATTTTGTGATTTTGGCTAATTTTCACTGATTAAAGTTGGGTTGGATACTTTCCTTATGTGTTCGAATATGATGACTTCTAATTCATGATTAATGCCAATATTTGAACGTGGTATAGAAGGTCAACCAAACGAAAACGCAATCAATCCTGCTTCATTTCTTTCTACATGACCAAGTCAATCTATTTACACCTGAGATACTTTCTTCTTTGTTCTACTGAATCCATCTTGAAATTGTCACTCATTCTATTTACGACACACTTAACCAACGACGGCAAAATGTTGCTTATTGCTTCTTCAGAATTGTCTTTATTTTTAAAATTCTATTTTTGTTGTTTACAAATATTTTAGTATTTTTCCCCCGATTTTTTTCTTTTAATACTTTTCGTGATAATTTATAGAAAGCGAAACGTTCGATGCTCAGTATTTGTATAAAGTCTTCATATTGAGAGATTCAAATCCGTCTGAGCCTCTAATTGATATTCATCCTTTTCCCTGAAGAAGAAAAATGTATAAATTAGTATTTCTTCATACTTAGTTATTAAACATATTTAATAGAATGTTATTTAAACTAATTTACAATATCTTTCTTTTTCAGTATAGCAAAATCAATTAATGCTGTAAAGATTCTTACCAGAAAGGGTAATGATTAAACTGGTTTAAAAATAATATATATATTTAAATGGCGTCGAGACACCAAACATCTTTTTTTAGCTAATTTGAGACCGCTGAATCTGAAAATGAACTTACTTTTCTTGGTTAGCTACCGTTTTTGCTGTACAGAAATGTCTCATTTTTGGAAGAAAAAAAATCATTTTTTTCTTTGTCTTCTGTATATGTGATATTGACCGATGCCAATATTTCTTAAAGTAAAATCGTAGAAACCGCTCAATTCTTATTTAAACCAACAAATATTGGTCTTCTTATTGAGAAATAGTATTTTTGCAATAACAATCAGGCCCTTAGTCTTTAAATATAACACGATTGAATATAGCAAGACCAAAAAGTATTTTCATCAAATCATTTAATAAACTAGCAGCAGAAATAAAACCTTCGTGAACATATGAACTATGGTAAAATTTTCCTATTTCTTGATTGTCTATCATGTTCATGTTATTTAAGTCCCTTTTGATGCTGCAGCAGTAGTCAGCCATCATTCGTTTGTCCCACCGACACTGGTAGCGTTCTTTCATTGTTTTGATATCCTGTTAGAATCGTTTTCTTTGCTCATCACTCACACCGCCGTAATTATCCGGAAATTTATCTAGATGGCTATGTAAAAAAAAAAATAAAAATGAACGTTAATACTTATATTAGCACCTATGTCTTGTAGACTTTTCAACAGCTTTTCCACCTACTCCTTGTAGTTTTCGGCCCGGCGATTGCCTGGGAAGTTTTTTCACCACATAGACGATGTCCAAGCGCGTAATTCCATTTCACTCAGTGAATTAACAAATTCATCATCCTTAATGAATTTCCTGACATCAGGACCATCAAGCACTCCTGCTTTGGGTTTTTCGGTGCTAAGTCCTGGAAACGATTTACATATATACTCAAAATATTTACTTTCTGGTCGAGTGATTTTACATACTGTTTCATTAATCCCAATTTGTTATGCAAGAGAGGGAAGATGATTTTTTCTTTCGGATTTAGTACTGCATTAATAAAGCTCTTTTTCATCGACCTTTAAATTTTAGGTTGACCACTCTTTTCTTTTCCAGTGCTCCTCTTTTGATCTACTGTCCCACATGCACAAAAACACATGGGAAATTCATGTAGCCACTTTGTTGACCAAGCATGAAATTTACCATTTTCAAATCCACACATAACTCCCATTGATGTTTGGTGTAGTCAATCTGTTCCATAACCTGTTTGATGGCATCATGTTTTTCTTTCAGTGTTGTTGAATGACCTATAGGTATTGGCGCATACATTTTGGTATTATGTTTTGAACTATCAATGAACAATCTCCATTCATCAGGATTTTATATGTGGACGCCTAGTCGAGGAAGAACTAGCTCAACGTCATTGAACAAGATCCGTGTTCTCATTGAAGAACGCTACAAATTCGGCATCCATATTTCGATATAATGTTACCTTTGTGCCTTTTGCTAACAGGGGTTTTTCGTTGTACCTAGAGGCCAAAAGTTCTGCTGATTTTTTGCTTAGATTTATGTCTCGAACCAAGTCATTCAGCTCCTTTTGGTTAAAGGTTGAAGCCATGTCATTTGATATCTATCTCTATGATAAAAAAGAACATGAGTTGGTTGAGCATTTACTTTACCCTTTGCGTGTTCACATTTAGGTAATTTGATCTTCCCCAATGTCCTACGGAGAGACTCGTAAAACTGTCAATAACAAAAGACAGCGTCATTACGCTGATTCTACTTCGTATCTTTGTCGTAATTATTTTATAGTGGTTACGAACATTATTTATTTTGGAATAACATAGAATAGAACTCACAAAAATATTAGATCTAACACACAAATGTACGATATATCCCACTAACTTTAGTTTAATAACTATAAGGGAGATTTCGCAAGACAACGGTAATATGTACTAATAATCACAAGGCTATGAATCCCAAGAAGATTTTAGGGTTTCATTTTTTTTATGTCACCTTAATTATCAGGTTTACTAAAGTTTATTACTGATAAAGTTTATCAGTTAATTTGAATTTTGGCGATAAATTGGAAAAATTCGGTATTTTTATTTTAATATTTTTGACTCAAAAACACTTTTTTTTCTTATAAAAATAGTTTATTTCAGGTGGCTGATATAAATTGCTCAGCCTACCTGAAAACTGAAGGATTTCTACGACCTTTATTCACTAAATTTTGCGATCAGCCAAGATCATAAAGTGATCTTTTTTCCAAAAATGGGCAATTTCAGTGAAGCAAAAACGGTAGCTAACCATGAAAAACAACGGTCATATTCGGAATTAGCACCATCAAATAAGCTGAAAAATGTGTTTTGCTTCTTGGCACCAAAAATTGTGTTGACCAGTGTTAGTAAATTCTTCTGGCAGACTATTCTTTAACCGAGTGAGGTCAGTATTCCTGAAGGTTCAAATTAGTTACCTATGCCAGTCTATGTTAAACTTCCTAAATATATACACTTAATGATAATTTCATGTTTTAGGAGATTGAACTTTCTCGATTTAAAAATAATTTCTATTCATCACTCAGCCGATTACACTGCCTTTATCAGATGACCTACTACATCCTCAGATTAGATAATTATGGAAGAGTGGTTTCCAGAAGTAATCATTGAAGTACTTTTCTTTTGCCGTCGGTCATCCTGAGATGCGATGAGTATATAACATATCAATGTTGTTAATTAAGGATATTCTAAAGTGAACAGTCGGAATTCGAATACTATTGATTTTTGCCTCGATGTCGTGAATCTCAAAAAATAATCTAAATTTTATTACCTCATCGCCTCAATGTTTTGCGTGTAAACATCGTCAAAATTGTCCATTATGGGTCTGTTGTTGGTTTCAGGAAGGAAGAAATACGAAACACCAGCTAAAATGCAGGCAAACCCCATCGTCAACAATGGTAAACTGTCACCCAATCTTCCAGCTGCAAGTGTACGCTATCGTAAAAAGAGACAGAAAATATTGTTTAAAATGTCTTTATATAAAATTTAACGAACTTAACTAGATAAAAATATTTCAGTTTACATTTTCTTTGTTTCTAAGTGTAAACCTAAGTATACATATAATTAAATAATAAAAAAAAGTTTGCGGATCTACAGAGTGGTATGCGTCATTGGCCTCGGATATTATTTGTAAATTAGATTCCCATAAGACAAGCGGAGGTGACGGGATACCAGCCGTCGTCCTAAAGAATTGTGCTCCCAAGATGGCTCCATTTCTCTCTAGGCTCTACAACTATTGTCTCACTGTTTCCTTCTTTCTAGCGTGTTGGAAGTCCTCCTCTGTAGCTCCTGTTTTTAAGAACTCGGGAGGAGCCTTCTGACCCCTATATCACCCTATTAGTCTCCTACCGCTTTTCGGAAGGTATTCGAGGCATTAATCAATGCTGAAGTAGTTAAGCATTTTACCTATTACGACTTACTCCCCGGCTTACAATTTTGACAGGTGTACCACTGATGTGCTAACGGCCACCACTAAATGTGTATATCAAGCTCTCGATAATAAGGTCGAAGGTGGAACTGTGTCTCTATATATCTCGAAGACGTTTGACAGGGTTTGGCACGCTATTCTTGCACGTGAACATCAGCGCTACGGTATTACTGGGCGATTGTTTGATTTAATCCAATCGTTCCTATCAAATCGTGAAATGAAGGTCGTTTTAAACGGGCTCACTTTCAGATCCTTTCACACGAACGCGGGTGTGTCCCAAGGATCTATCCTGGGTCCTACGCTCTTTTCATCAAGGATATTCCTGATATCATCAGTTCCCAAGGAGGCATTTATGCTGATCGCTACTATTTACTGCTGTCTCAACAGCAAATTCGTCAGAGCTGACAAAGTTAAACTGGCCGCTGCTCTTGAAAAGGACCTTCAAAAAAGAAACTGCTCTTATTTAATCACAATAAAGAAAAATTCCTGTACGTCAGCAGCATGACCGATGCTGGACTCCTGGAGAGCAATACATTGCGCCTTCTTGGCCTCATGTTTTCATTTTAATTGAAGTGGAACGGCTACATCAAGCCAGTAGTTGCATCTACTGCAAAAAAGTTCGATCACTGTATTGTACCAGAAGGTTTTTTTTCTCATCAGAGTTCATCTTTGATATTTAAAAATCTACCATTCCTCCGTGCGTTGAATACTGTTGCCATATCTGGTCTGGTGCTTCTGCTAATCATCTCGAGGTCCTTGAAATACTCCAAAAAAGGATCTGCAATGTAATCGATCCTGACTTGGCATCTCGACGCCAGTCACTTTCTCACCGACGTGACGTGGTTTCCCTCTGTCTTTTCTAGAATTACTTTAATGGCTACTGCTTTGGTGAGCTTTTTTTCCCCGGGTGCATGAACGACGTGGGTTTAAGCGTGCTACTTGATTGGAATCTAAGTATCACCCTTTTACTGTTGAATTAGTTAAATGTATCTGTCCCTTCTACTGCAACAGTTTCTTTTCTCGCACTTCCATCCTGTGGAACGCCCTTCCATTTCCTTGCTTCTCTGATAACTACAATCTTCAAAAATTTAAATGCACCGTCAATCGCGATCTATCTTCTTGAACTCCGTTCAGCTTTTATCCTTTCCTCAGTGCCCCCTATAAACAGTTTTTCTCTCTCCTTCACTCTATGTACCCCCCCTGCGTACTAATGGCATTCCCGCCATGCTTGAGATGAAATGATTAAGAAAAATATGCAATACGGTGCGTTTGACACATTCCTAATCAAACAGCTAGAAATAAAATATAAGTGAAGGTGTAAAAAATCGCTTTAGAATAATTCAAAAATTCAAAATTTTATCGAATTATCAACGTGGTAAAGAAAATTAAGATAAACTAACCGTAGAATGTAAAACTAAAATTCATATCACTACATTTGTGAAATCACTTATAAAGGTGGATGAGAAATGTTCCCAAATCTTTACATTTCCGAGATATGAGATACGAGGTTCCTTCCAGAAGTTCTGAGACTTACTTAGGACAATTATTTACTAATTTCAAAGAAGTACAAAACTCCAATCTCCTTCAAAGTAGGATCCTCAGATTCAATGCATTTGTAGCGTGCCAGTCACATCGTGAAGACAACATGGAAGTCATCCAAAGTAAAGGTGTCCAGGACCCTTGTCACAACTTCATTCAGCTTCTTAATGTCTTTAAAATGACTGCCCCTGATGTTCTCCTTCAGCTTGAAGGAACAACTAAAAGTCACAGAGTGCAATATCTGGATTGAGGAGCTGTTTTAATGCCTATCTCAACACAAAAATAATTGCATAGTGAACTTCCAGATTGTCTTCACGTCTCTACTGCATTCTGTAAACTAGTCAGTTGTAACAAGAGGTGTTAATTTAGGCTTGTTCAAAGAGCTGTTGCAACCGTTTTCTTCAGTCTGGACTAACAAAAGTTGATAGGCCATCTTATATATCGTAATGAGAAACTAAAATTACAATAATTTGGAAGAGTTATCCTAAAAGAAAAACTCAAAATATTTGGAATGCACCTCATAAAACTTATTTATCAACATCCGTCTATATTTAATTCAAAATTGCATTGGCAAGTTGAAAAATAGAAAATAAACTAGAGGAACGTCTTATCTCGATTTGAAATTTTAATGTACCTGTACGATGGCGCACTATTTTGATCTTGAATTTTGTTAAAGCTCTACTTACTATCATCACTACGTAGGGGGCTATGACACCCCCTAATGTGGCAAAACTAGCGAGGTATCCTACTGCTCCGTTTCTCGCACAGGTGGGGAACAATTCACAGGTATGTACGTAGATGATCCCATAGTTACCAGTAATACACAATCTGCTTATGATAGCTAATACTGTTGACGTCCATTGTAAATCTGAAATAGAAAATCAAAAACATTTACAAATTAGAGAATATATATCAAAGATGCTTAAGGGCATTTTTAAAACCACTTAAAACAAAGATGGTAATAACATTGTAAAATAGAAAAAAAGATAGAAACATTAAAAGGACAGCAACAAAATATGCCATTACAAAACAATAGCAATAGTTTTATAATGTTAAACTTGTTTCCCATACAGGAAATGTAATATAAGACGAAGTCTGTTTTAAATCAATGTACGTTTATATATATATATATATATATATATATATATATATATATATATATATATATATATTATATGTATATGTATGTATATATGTATGTATGTAAACAACATTTACTAACTTACATTTATTATTGCATTAAATTACATCTATTAGCATATTCCATAATTTACTTTGACTTTCATAGCCCTAAAGATATTGTTGACTATTCTTAAATTAAAAATTTTGAAAACATAACGATGTATTTACTTCTGTTATTAAATACGTTGCAAAATAAAATCCTTCGATTAAGGCACATTTGAAAGTTTTCCAATGAATGATGTAATCACTTTGTTTACTTGACATGAGTTCACCTTATAGAGAAGTCTATTAGCATGCAAAATCCTGAATCTATAAATATGAGAATACTGTTAACAGCTATTGAACTGGCACTTTTGACCACTTACAGAAACGATGTTTAGTTGCTGCACATTGATATGTGCTTAAGCTATGACTTATGGCATATCAGAAGAACTGAATACAAAGAATAGGTGCATATAGTTTACCATAAGTTTCCCAAAAACATTTGTCAGGTTTGAATTAAGAAATATCTATCTGGCTTACAATGGCTGCAAAGGCTACAAAACCCAGCCCGATCTGTTATTTGCTAATAGCTTAATGGGTTATTTATGTGTAAGTTAATGTAATGAACTCGACAGGAAGTTGAACGTCTCTTAGATTACTGAATCTGAGCAGCAATCCATTACACCACTGCGCGAACACACACATGTATGTATATATATATATATATATATATATATATATATATATATATATATATATATATAAATACGAGAGAGAAACAGATATACGCATGTGTGTACATATCTGTGTGTGTGTCAAATCGAACTGGTACATATGATATATGTCTGTGTGTGTTTTTCTCTTTGTGTAAATAGGCTTCTGATCACATGGGCAGTGTTTGTAAGTTTATATTATTTAAGTGTATCTCTCTATATGTGCTTGTATGAGTGTTTTCTCATGCGGGTATATATGTGCATAACTGCATTTAATTGGATAGAGATTCGAGCTTCGAACTTCATTTTTCCCGTCCCCCACAACACTTTCCCTATTTCAGTTCTTTATGCTGATTCGATTTCGTGAAATTCAACCAGCTCACATCATATGCCTGAGCAGTCTTCAAGGAACAATCACGGAATTTTTAATACATAAAAAAACACTTTCATTTCTTACCATCGGGAGCGTAGATGAATGGAAAAATTGTCACGATTCCGCAAATTCCTCCAGTTACTATGAAGGCAATGTACAAATTCTTTCTTCCGATTCGGTTCAATAAAAATATACACAATACAAAAGCAGGGATTTCCACGAGAGCACCAAAGAAGAAATTCAAAAAGATGTTTCCGCTTAGATTTTCAGTGTTTATCACCAATACGTAATAGGCAAAACTCACCACAAACCTAGAGAAGATAAATAAAATCTCTTGATGTGAAAATGTTAAATACATTGGATTGTTTTAATGAGTCGTTAATCTAATTAATTTTGACATCAAAGAATTAAAAAAAACGCAACAGGCAACAAAAATATAATTCTGAATACCAAACCACTTACAAAAATGATAAGCAAGCAGTCTATCTATGCAAGTAACATCAAAACAACGTACAATCAATACTTTTAAATCAATTCCTTGTAGAGGCCTTCACAAAAACCAGCCAAGTTTTTAAACACGTGAAGGCTTTTTTCGAAAATCTGTTATGATTCCTCCAGTGTTTGACAGTCTCCGATTTTCGGTAAAATATTTGGAATCATTATTATTCTGAAAATAATTGTTAATGCAAGATTCCCCCAACAAAAAAAGAATTATTCTTACAATCCGATATATGCTTCAGATTTAAATAACCCACAAAGGGTTGATAAGCCTTAAAAATCAATCATCCATAAAAAAAAAATCTTTGTGTCCTCCAGCCTTATCCAGGTAAACTTCTAGAAATTTAAAACTGCATTTCAAGAGTAGAATCTTCTCAGTTACTGGTAAACATGTTTCCAATGGATCTGAAGTAAATCATTAGAAATCATTTAATTACGATAAAATAGTAAATGATCAGATTTTCCTTAATTTTAAAACTGATCTTTGATCTTGATTTTTTCAGCATGTGGCCTCATGTTGTCGTCTGAGGCTTGATAAGAAAAAACAAACAAACTGGGATTTCGTATCCTGATTGTTAAATTAAGTAAACCTTGGAGGATTGGCAAAACAATCCGCCACGCTCATTTTCCCGATTTGAACATATAATTATAAGCTTAGTAAACATCGTATATCTAAAAAAACCCCAAAAAACCCCCCTCTAACCTTTAAAGATTGTTGAATATTAATAGACTTAGTAATTTGCCAGGCGAGAAGTGTGGGGCACCTTTGAGAATGGAACTCATTACGGTGGCAAATCATTCTAATGAGATTAGTTTGATGGTCAACAAAATAAACCAAATATCCAATAATATTACAGCTAGATTTCTCTAGAGAAATACTTATGATTCAGGTGCTCCATTTACAAAAATTAAGTTTACGGTAGAAATTATGAATATAAATATTTTTACAACTTTAATAAACGTACGAACCTAAATCTCTTTAAAGATTTAATTACCATAGCGAGAAAACGAACGTATCCATTTTTTAAATTAAGATTATTGTGAAGACAAGATTATCAAATTACTGTAGCAGATCTTTACTACAATATTGATCGCTATCTTCACCTAATACTTATACTCGAGTATAATGCGAGATTTTATGGTCAGATTTTTTGCAAATATAGATTACACTAAAGGTTGGTAATTTTTTGTTTTGAAGAAGAAGAAGTAAAAAAAATCATGAATTTTCGATGACCGGTTTCATTATACGCAGATAATTATTTTCTGGTGGGGGTAAAATCCATGTAAAATTTCTGGGGTCGTACTAAGCATGAAGTCGTCTTATAGATGAGTAGATACGGTAATTGATTCACTTTGTAAAATTCTGATACTTCTGTGTAGTGAAATGAAGAAATAATGGTAAGAACAAAGTAACAAGACCATAAGTGGACGCTAAATTGATGTGATTGTCGACCTGAAAATCTCTCTCTCTCTCTCTTTAGCAATAATAATGGCATTTTAAATAACGCTCAATAGTCTTAACTTTCCGTGATATGACATGAAAATTAAATGATATTTTAAAGTTTCGACTTTACTGTCGTATCATTGCTGTATACATCAACGGTCATTAGAAGAATTGGGCATCAAGTTAAACTGACGTGTTTAGGTTTTAGTCAAACTGCGGTTATGTCTGTCCTAAAGACTAACCAAACTCGACTGTTGGTAGACAAAATGCAGGGTGATTTTGGAAATGTATCTTATATGGTTGGAAGTCGAGTATTTCAGACATTTCTTTGGAGGAATAGGCGGGAAACCGTGCTAGTCTTTAATATGATCAGATTTACAAGAAGAAAGGAAATTAGTCTTACCAATTGAACATAAGGATAAGGGACCGTTTTCGAAATTCTGGAATTGTAAATATTTTCCATAACCTGACAGTCCGATCTTCGATCACCGATATTTCTAGTTTATCGGATTTGTAACTGAAATCTCTCTTGTTAACTTTGGCCATTTTATTCAGAATTATTTCTGCTTCCTTTTCTTTTTTTACAGTTAGTAGCCAACGTGGGGATTCTGGTAATAACCTGTAAAGAGTAATAACAATATTTTATTAGAAAGAAAACATACAGATAACAAATGTCGATAATATTGGGAATTTGCTGTTTTAAATCTTACCAAATGAAAAGTAATCCAGTTGCTATTGAGGGTATAGAAATCAGTAGAACGATCAGCTTCCAGGTTCGTATATAATACGTCAATAAGCTAAGTATAAAGTATCCGGAAGTGAAATAAAACTGAATTGCTATGGTGGCATTAGTTCTGTTTTTCATTGACGAAATTTCAGCTCCTGTTAAATAAAAGATAAAATTAAAAGTAGTAAAAAAAAACAATTCACGATAAACCTATCATTTCGAAACAGGTTTTTAAAATACTCTCAATTTCAATGTATTCTTTTATGTTACGTGTCTCATCATGACGTTGTCGATCATGGCTCTCCGCAATTTCTTGTCTTTTTTAACTTTTAATAACTTTTGTCTTTTTGCCATCTCTCCCAAACCCTACTTTACCATCCATTTTCTCAAGTTCACCAGGTATGTTGTGCGTTGGTTTCCTCCGACTCTCTTACTTTCAATTTGTCCTGTGAGTATCCAATTTTCCAAGCGCTCTTTTCTCATTAATGCCCCAGACTTTTCTGTCTCTTTCTGATATTAAGTATGTGTATCCGTTTTGTTGCCATTGTCACTATAACTTCGTCGTTGCTCACGTGTTCGATAGAATGTCAAATATAGAACACGGATTATCAAGCTAATCGCACAGTGTATTCATTACTTTCGTAACCCGATATCCGAGTTCGAGCATCTCAAGAATTTGGCTTGGTAAACACAGAAACAGTAAATATTGGACAATTTCCGGAAAAGTAGTAAAAATGTGATTCTACAGAACGATACGGAAAATTCCATGGATGGAGCGAGGAAGCAGCAAGGAAGAAACACTTCTACTCAAAATCAGGAGATGACAGGTGAAATTTCTTGGACACATAATGAAGGTGTAACTCTCACAGTGCATATTGAAGGCAAGAGGATTAGGTGAAAGCTGCAAACCATTTACCGGATAAGCCTGTGTAAACTGATAGCGGAACGGAGGGACCTTAGCAACAAGAGAAAAAACTGAAAAAGACACACAAGATAGAAAGTTGTGGAGAGCCATAATTGTTTATGTCCTGAAGGGACGCGACACAGAAGAAAAATTTCGTCTTAACTAAGTCTGCCGTTGATTGAAATGAAAAACACGTCTTACCGAACACAACTGATGGATTGAAAGAGAGAGCACTTCCAATGGCCGTCAAAGTTCGGAATATGAGAATCACATTCATGTTCATGATTTGCGAAGACAGAATTCCAGTAATACCTTGCAGCAGCAATGCAGCGATGATGACGGTCTTGCGCCCGAATCTAGAAAAAAATTGTAAAGATTCATTAATGTTAAACGAAGTTTGAACGACTAAAATTTTTGTCATTCAAACTCAAGTTGAAGAAATGAAGTGAACATAAGTTCATATATGTTTAGAATATTGAGACGTTTGCATAAATACAAAATTGTTTACAATTCAAAATATCCACCCGTTGCTTTCACGATAGCCCTTAATCACTACTCAACTGAATTGTATTGTATCTCGTCGCTTTTTGTGTGTGTGTGTGTGTGCGTGTGTGTGTGTGTGTATATCTAATTATGTCTGGGTGCTTATGTATTATAATCTGATTGTGTTTTTGTTGTTAAGCGCGTGAGTTTAAGACCACATTCACACACTTTAAAATAAAAAAAGGAAAAGAAAGGGAAAAGAAAAATATATATATACATGTATTGTCAAATGACCGGATGTATTGTAGCGTCTTGTCGAACGTAATTTCAATGAAGAAATGAATAAACATATATATTTTTTCTTTTCTCAATAATTTTGTAGTTTTTAAACTTAATGGTGATTAAATTTGGATTTTAAAATTGCCAGTTTTTAATTTTAATATTAAATTTTATCATATAATTTTATAATTATTGGTTAGTATAAATTATTTTTAATATTACCCGTATTTTAAAGATCTGAATAGCTATTATAACATGATTTCGTTGTCAAGCTTTTGAATCTTTCTATACTTGGTTTTTGATTGGTTATTCTAGTTTTTGTAACAATGTTCCCCCTAGTGTAGGATCGTTAATTAATCTGAAACTTTTAAAACCATTTATTTTATTTTCAACATCCTCACTTAATAAGACACAGAGTGTGTTGAAACAAAATAGCTATTTTTGTAGTGATTTTATAACATACTTATGTTATAATTTTTTTATAAATAATAATTATATCTGCTCTACTTTGTATTGAGCACTCTTTTAAGAATAGTAATTGTTGGTTATTGGAATTCATTCCGTATATACCAATTATATACTTTGATATATATACATATATATATATATGCATATATACATATACATATATATATACATACATATATATACATACATATATTCATACATATATATATATACATACATACATACATATATATACATACATATACATATATATACATACACATATATATACATACACATATATATACATACATATATACATACATACATATATACATACATATATACATACATACATATATACATACATACATATACATATATACATACACGTGTATATAGATAGATAGATAGATAGATAGATAGATAGATAGATAGATAGATAGATTAGAATAAGAAGTGAGTACTACTGTCAATATATACTTACCGATCAGGAAGCCAACCGAAGCATAACATTGCAGTGAAATAACCGACAAAAAATACGGTGTAAATTTGATAGGCGATCCATTCCTTGCCACAAATTAAATTAAACTGGAAAAAAAAAATAAAACATTGGAAACGTAAATGAAATTAACCAGTATAAACAAACAATTTATAAAAATTAAAAAGAGATTTATAATCGTACTGGGGTGCATATATTGATGAAAAATATATAAAAATTATAAAAGATAAAATAATTCGACGGACGAATCATGTATTCAGGAAAGTTTATACCGAGTTAGATGATGAGGAAAGTGATGGATGTTTGACACTAGCTGTTATTCAACACTCGTTGACAAATACAAGATACGGCTGATATGTAAATGCTATTTTTATTGGGCATCCATTCAAGTAGATGTTCTGTTTATTCGTTAAACAGTATATTTATTTTCGTTTACTGGCCTAAATATTTGAGAAATCATATTAAAAAAAAAATATGCACACTCCGGCAGGATTCGAAACTGAGTTCCCCTTTACAGGAAAAACCGCCGTTAGATCCGATATGTGGAATATTTCTGCGATATACCGTGTCGTTTGGTCTGGATTTCAATTAGCATTTTGATTTAGTCATCATCAATGACTTTAGATCTACCGCAGCGTTCTTGATCGTCCATATCAGAATTTCCATTTCTGATACTAGAGAATCACTTACGAACAGTACTCTTTGCATAAATGGTACATATCGCTTTTGCTGTTTGTAAAGAGTTTTTTCTTACATTTCGAAAAAAAATCAAATGTCGAAAACCCTCATTTTCTTCATTTTCACTTTAAACGTAAAACTAATTAATTTACGACCCCCGCATGATTCGTAGTGAAAGAAGCGTTTAACTTTCACCTCTCGACATATATATATATCGTAAATTTCAGTTATGAATGAAACGAAGTTATGTGTTCAAATGTGACCTACTGAAAAATATTACGAACTTTCGTTCTACCCCATAACTTAGAAATCCTGGTATGTTATTGCTGTAACCTAGCAAGGCTAACTGTATATGTAATAACCAAAACGGAGGTTGAGAATGAAATGCTAATCTTTATAACATCAACAAAATATAATACTCGCCAGCGACATAAAGTAGGTAAACCACTGCTAGTGGTGGACTACTTAAACAGCATATTGAGATTTATTATGTTTAAAAATACATAATTAGGGCACAAGGCCAAAAAAGGGGAGAGGTTGAAGCTGGTCGACACTACCTATCTTATACCTAGCTAATCTGATTCACGACCCATTCACACATTACAATTTCCAGATCCACCATAAAAACTTGTCCGTCACCAATCAATCCTCCATACAGCATAATACAGCATTCTCTCAAGGGGGGCTGACAAAAAATTATGGATGAATAGAATGAAAGATGAGGGAATGAACCCCAAAACAAACTAAACATGAACACAGAGTAAATTAAACAGAACTGATGCTAGTAGGGCTCGTCCAACCCTCAAAAAAAAGAGAGGCCGCCGTATTCTGCCCATTGGACAAAATCAAGAAGCTCTCTCGCTAAGGGAGTGGGAAAGGAGAAAATATATACGGGCATGGAAAATATAAAAGCCGGCCCAGTCGAGATGAAAAAGAGGGCTCAAATCATGACTTGGATCATAACCAAAGATGCAGCCGGAGGCTGACCAGGAACAAAACTTACTCACATTAACTAGGTACACAAAGCTTGTCTAATCTAAGCAGGGGAGGGCTCTACAGGAAAACACCTCGATGTGACGTAGGTTGATCTAAAAGAGAAAAATCAAAGTTAGCCCCTTTCAAACGAACCAAGATCGCCTCAGTCACCCACCTTTCGCTGAAGACTGTTGAATGCAAGCGTTTTCTAGCAGTTCTAATCTTCATCTTGAGCTGATGCTCAAAGAATCGGATTTGATCCTGATGGAAAAGACGGTAGCCTCGCAAGACTTCCTCCTATCGCGTCGTCGAAATCACCTTTCGGGCCGTAGCCAGCAGCGTCAGAAACACCATTCGTTTCACCCCAGATTACGGGGGCAATACATTGTCACACCCGTTTTCGCGATCTATGAGCACGAGCTTCTCGGGGGCGAGACAAGCCATCAACTCGCTTCTGGCAAATCCGCCAAGCCCCATATGAATGCCTTGTCATTGAGAGGCAGCTGATTCCGAGCCAATCACCAGGTAAGCGAAAACTCAGGTTACTGAGATAATCTGCTGCTGGCGCCGAGGACCAGAAAGAGCAAAACTCCTCCTCCGACAAGTCGAGCCGCTCACGTAGAGGATCCTTCGCGACCCCCTCCACTAAATAACGATAGAAGATCTTCCTAGGCTGTGAAAGGTCGCGAGATGGAGGGATGATAGTAAGGAAATGCAACGCGTCCCAAATAATCCCCGCCATAATCGAATCTCCTGTCAAAGAGCGGCATAGGAAAGCCCCTCCCTCATGACACGGACGTTGTGCACAGGCTTCTTATGAACTTTACAGAGAGGAAATACAGACATTCGATAAAGGAGAATCTGGAAAACGTATGTGGCACACGCCTCTGCCCTGCCCAAGTCTGACCGGCCGTGTCGACCTTTGCTCGTACTTCAGACCAATTTTTCTCCAGTTGGAGGTAGGGTCCAAACCACATAAGAGGACAGAACCGTCCGTCCAACCGAAGGGCCCCGTAAGATCTACCTCCTTCCAGGCACCTAACCACAAGCCGGACGACTTGTTGCGGTTAATCTTGGCCCCTGTCACTTTTTCGTACCGATCAAGTTTTTAGACTGATTTGCAGTACGCTATTAGACACTTATTAAGGGTAAGAATAAAAGAGCATGGTGTTTAATCGACTAATTGAGATTGCATATAAAACACATATAGATATATCAAAGATACTTACATCACTGGTCATCGATGTTTCAAATATTGATTTGTCATAGACCCAAGAATTACAATTACTCAGTGTCTGGTTTCCCAATGCACTTTTGTTGACATAAAGATGGCAGCTACTGTACACTGGTTTCCCATCCACTATATCTTCGGGTATGTATTCTTTAATAAGCTCAGCGTGGGCTTCGCTTTGCACTTTGTAAGTGTCGTTAGTCAAACCAGGAATAGCACACCTTTATTGAAAAAATGTTTTCATAATAATGATTATAATTTATTTGTAACAAGACAATAATAATAATAATAATAATAATAATAATAATAATAATAATAATAATAATAATAATAATAACTGATTTCTTTTTTATAATTAATAATTGTAAAAATACAGGTGAAATGAGAATTTAGCTTATATTTCAGGTCGGCAGAACTTTTGCCAAAAGGCACTCAGTAGATAACTTGAGCTAAGATATTCAATAAATAAGTAAAAGTTCTATTGATTTATTCGATTTGACCGACTCAGGAGTTTCAGCGTTCATCAGAGCAAGATGCACGATAAATCTGTTGAAAGTTTTATCAGATTTCATATTTATACTCGTCGGAACAAACGCTAATTATAACTTTTAAATTTCTAGTTTGATATTTTAAATTTGGGACCAGATAAAATGATTTTTCATATCATTATATATATATATATATATATATATATATATATATATATATATATATATATATACTTATGTACGCATATATATGTTTTTTGTTTGTATTTGTTTAATTTTTAATAATTTTTATATATAATTTCATTCGAATATCTGCCGTTGATAAGCATTTCAACACGAAACACTTGAGTCTGTCAATTGAAGATACATTGATTTATTTAATATTATAATTATTATATATAATATTCTAATTAGCATCTTTTTATTGCGGTTCTGAATTTTACATCATGTGTTTTCTCAGTACTTATAACTGGAGTCTCGCACTTGAGATTAAGTGATTAAATGATCTCCTCTTTACTCCACCAACCCCTCTGCATTTATGCTTGCTTTTCGTGATGCTCTTCTCTGGATTTCTTCATCGATTTTGCAATTTTATTTTTTTTCATATCTTTTCGCGGCTCTCCTAAGTGATCCGATGATGATGTTTTAATATAGTTATTATTTTCATATTGCAGAGTTTCTCATTTCTCAAGCAAATTTCAGGTTCTTTATGAGTATTTATTGTTTTCATATTTTGTATCTCTGATATTTTAGTAAGTAGTAAGTTTACTAATCTACTCAGTAATCTAGCCGATTTTAGTAATTCTAATGTTTGGATGGTTTCGAGTTTCATCGGATTTTCAGTTTCGCGGCATGATAAACTGACAGATTATTATTATTGAGTGCAAGAGAAGCTCGTCACATTTCTGATTTCAAACCAGGTTCACTTTACCATTAAGTTACGAGACGCCATGACAGCAAAGTGAAGTTAATTTATCCTATTTAATATATGCACATCTTTGTTTTGGAACTTTCGAAATCAATAACCATGAAGTCAATATTGGCTGTAAAATCTCTTTTATTTCACATAGTTAAGTTTTCAGATTTTATTTCAAGATTAATGGAATTATTTTTAAGTGCTTCTTCTGTAATATATATATTATATAATTTTATAAATTTCCAGATTGATTATAATATATATTTTCTATGAGTTCTGTGTCAAATACGTTTTTCTATTATTTTCAAATTTATATATATTTTTAGAGCTGTAATTGCATTGGGTTCATAGGGTTTTCGGATGTTATTTGATAAATAATTGGAATTTCTGAAAAAATCAACTAATAGCCTCGTTAAGGAAATATTTTCTCATGAATAATATTTAAGTTTTTTGTCAGAATCGAACATCATTGATATTCTATCATTTAAATTACAGCTCCAAAATAGTCTCAAAATGATTTCTAACCTTTTTAAGTACCACCTTTCCCTTGTTTTTATTTATAAATGTTAAATTTGAATAGTGATGATGTCATTGATAACTGCGGACACTTGCTACCCAATTTACCATTAGGATTGTTTTTCACCTTCAAATCTGAATAAATGCGTTCTGAGAAAACATTTATTTTTAAGTAACAAAAATAGCCGGGAAAAAATGTTTCCCTAATTT